TGAGCTCAGATGAACCAACGGCAACCTGGGGAAGGAGGAATGCATATGGCGATAGTCCAAGAGAGGCCGTCAGAATCCTCAGCAGGCAATCCCGGTTGTCTTAGAGAACAGAAGTGAGTGTGTGAGAGTCTGTGCATCTGCACAAGGGACTGGTAGGAGTAATAATGGTCTTACTGTATGTGTACATGTAACTTTACAGAGAGGGCAAAGAAATGTGTTGAAGTTTTTCAGCTTGTCCTTTCTTTTTTGTTAAAAAAACTAAAAGGGCATTAGTCGACTTGTGTCCATTTTGCATATAGTAAAGTCTTTAACAGCTATTTGATACAGACAACCAGCCGTAGGCGCAGACCTTTAAAGAAGGCTGTTATTACAGACAGCCAAAAAAAAAAAAAAGAAGAGAGAGATTTGCAGCCTCCCTCAGCTGCAGAGAGGCAGAACAGACACTCACTGTACCGCTGCTCATCCCAAAAATACAAAATGATGTCATGCAGATTCCAAAAGTGGACTGCAGTGACAGAAACAGGGTCATGTGTGCACTCTACTAATGCACAGCTGAAGGAGGAGGAAAAAAAAAGAAAGACAGACGAGCAAGGAGAGTAAGGATGAGAGTGAAGCACAGTTTAAAATATTCAACCCCCCTTCCATTAACTCATCATGTAGGGAAGAGAACACTACCCGCACTGTACGTCTCAAGAGAAAGTGAAAGGGGATGGGGGTAGGAGGGTGTGGGGGGAGCGGGGTGGCAGCACTGTGGGATCAGACCTGTTTTATCCAGTAGCCCTTAAATCCAGCTCAGCATTTTCTCAGTGATGTCATCTAACTCCCTCACCTCCTGCTTTCTCACTGCGGCCTTCCCGAGCTTTCCGCATCTTGCACGAAACAAGCTCGCTGTTCCTCCCCTCTGCAATTACACAACGTGTGGTGCATAACAATATGGTGGCATTCTCCAAACAGAGATCAAATATAAATCAGGAGCTGCGTGCACTTATTTTTAGTTTGGGTGAAATAGGAAGTGCACGGCACGCCTACTTGTCTTTCACAGACAAGAACGCTCCATAAACAAATACGGACACAGAACGGGTCTGTTTTGGTGTCAACAGCTTTTCATGTGGTTTGAAAAGACGCAAAGGATGACGAAGCATAAAAGCCTCTTTCGACAATGTCAAAAACAATTTCAGTGTATACCTCAGATTTGCAGGACATTGTGATAGTTCACATCTGCAACTGAAACCAGATATTTACATACACTGAGTAAAAAGAGTTTTTTTTCCCCTCACTGTCTGAAGCTAAGGTGGACATGCTTTTAATGCTTAACATTTAAACCATTTACTTATGGGTTATATAAAGTAAAACTGCAATACGTGGTCTAAATTCATCATTATTGTAACTCCACAGATGCCCATATTTTAGAGCAACTCGCTTTGCTGCGTCTTTTTAAATATTGATGAAACATTTCATGCCCCGTTCGCCCCCCTCCAGGTCGCAGAGCTGTTGACTCCCATTTTTGTAGTTTCACAGCAGCAATACAACTGTCTCCCGAGTTTATTAAAGATGTCAACAACGGAAGACTTGTCCATCCAACCTGACATGTTGGAGCCAGAGTCTGACCCAGAGCAGGAGAACGAAGACGATAAACCTGCAGAACCATGAATTCAAATTAATGCATCACAATGGTGTTACTGCGATATTTACCATCTGTCCAATCGCATCCTCATCGAGGCAGATATAGCATACAGTGCTAACAGACACAGAAGGCACAATGACCAGGATCTTATCAACACACGAAATTCATGTCTAAAATAAGCTTTCCTGTTATTTTAGTGTTATTTTGGAGCTTACTGCTCTGTTGTGTACCTCGTTTCCACAGAGAGAAGGAACTGACCCTCAATCAAATGAAGTATTTCGGAAAATATCCCTCTCGATATTGCCGGCGGTTGCTGAAACACTTGTCCTTAAGTGCTCCGCGCAAACAAACTTTCCCCGCTGAAGTGGGTACATTTCCAAGAAAAAAAAAAGAAAAAAAAAGCAACCAGACACTTTGAGGAGTCTCTGATGTCAGAGAGCAATGTAATGAATTGTAGAACCAGATTTCATAATTGCTATTCACAGATCCAATCAGAACTGGAGTTAATTTCAAAAGAAGAACAAATGTCCTGCCCTTGTTATTGCACCAAAAGGTGAGATGAGTATACTCAAACCAGAAGTTCACATGAATTACATAATAAGACACATTTGTATTTTAGGGCTGTTGTAAAGGAATATTTTAGTAATCGAGTAATCTATTGATTATTCTTACGATTAATCGAGTAATTGGGTAAAAAAAAAAAAAGATAAAATAAAACATTGGTAAATCTAACATAACAGCATCAGATATCAACATCAGTGCAATTTTTCACATTTGAGCTTCCCTAACAATAACTTTATTAACAAAATTATTGTTAGCAATAACAAAGTTAATAATAATCGAAATAATAGCTCACTTTCTAAGTTAACCTGAAGAAAAGTTGTACAAAAATCTGAAATTATATTCAATTTAATAATAAAGAGGCAGCTTCACAAATATGGTTATAAAAACATGTCTATACTCCAGCTTTTGGTTTCATCTTAAGTCAATTTAATAGATTAGCTCTCATCTTGTCCAGCCATTTATAGTTTTGTGCCTATGGTGGGATTTGACACCTGCATTCGTCACACATAGAAAGCTATCAGCTATGTAACGTCACGATGCGCTTCGCCAACCATTTGTTGGGAATGATATGAAAGATTAAATTTATATCCCGGTTAGTCAGTAAAGCTGCGCATTTGAAGCACAGCCGCCCGCAGTATTCGGTCCATCCGCTCACCTGTATAAATAATCCCGCCGTGCTCGTCCCCGCCGTTCGCTCTGAACCAGCGGCTCCGGAAGGGAGAAAAGCTGCTGTACTCCAAGCATCGCTCCAGTCATTTTAAGGATGTTTATTGGTCCCCCGACAACGACAAAAACCTGGACATTATCATCAAGCAGTAAAATCCTCCCAGGCCGAACTTGAAAATTGGACTTTATGCTGCTAACACTTAGCTTTCCTCAACTACTCAGCCGGAAGTGAGAGCGCTGCGCAACGCAAATAGTAACCGGTATGAACAGGGTGCATTAAAAAATAAAACATAAATTAAATTAGCTTCGAGGCAGATACATTTTCCTTGAGGAATTTTAATAATCGAGGTACTCAAATCATTGGAGGAATCGTTTCAGCCCTAATAGTATTTTTTTTCACACTGTCTGACGTGAAATAAGAATAAGGTTTTCCCCTTTTTGGTAAATTAATTTTACCAAAACCTTTTTCTCAAGACAACAGCCAGGAAGTTAAAGCTTGGGCGCGAATGTGTCTCCCAAATGAACAATGACTCTAACCATACTGCCAAACTGGTCACAAAGTGGTTTAAGAAAAACAAGGTCAGTGTTTTGGAGTGGCCATCACAAAGCCCTGATCTCGATCCTATCGAAAATGTAAAAAGCTGAAAAGGAACTTCAGCTTTTAAATTGAAAAGGCATGTGCGAGCAAGGCGGCCTACAAACGGGGCTCAGTTCCACCACTTCTATGAGAAGAAACGGGCAAAAAGATTCCTGCCTACTATCGTGAGAAGCTTGTGGAAGGACATCCAAGAGTTATATAGTTTAAGGGCAACAGTGCCAAATACTAATTAAGTGTGCTTAATTTTTTTTTTACTTTCAAGAAAGTAATGCAAATAGCCTTAAAAAGTCTCTTTCTCATTATTCTGGCATTTACCAAATGGGAAAAAGTTTGATATCCTAACTGACCTAAAGCAGTAAACTTCATTCTGATTTCACTTCAGACAAGATGAAAACTATGCACTTGTGTCTTTTTATATGGCATATGTAAACTCCTGGTTTCATCTGTACTAAATGTTCACAACTTTTTAGATTTTTCTTTGGAATACAAATATGAATCCTGCATCCTTTTCCTGCCCCATCAGACTAACGTTTGTGTTAGACTGTCACGTACAATTCAAGCAAACTTGACTCATGTCTGTTTTTGTGTTGTTTCACTCCTACACCAAATTGTTTTCCCATTCCTTGTGTTGTACCCATTTAATCAAGACATCAGATCATTAACAAAGTGCGTCTGAGAAAAAACTGTAGTTGTTTTTTTTTTTTAATCGCAAAGCAGTAAAATAATTTACGCAAAACACTACACAACCAAAACTCCTAACAGGCTTTAAAAAAGAAGTGATTTAATCAAGAGTTTAATGAGAAACAATTGTGGTAGGTATGTGTTGCTGGTTTTAAGAGGAACAGGGTATCCCCAGCACAAAGATCAAGGGGACAACAGGGAAAGATTATGGCTTGGCAAACATCAGAACTTGATTATCCAAAGGGGTCTGTTCAGTCCAGGAGGTGTGAAACAACATGAATTTGGTCCCGCACCTTAGTTGGTTTCTCAGCTGTTTCTCACAGGTTCAAAACTAGGCAACAGACGAGATAGAGGAAGAGAGAAAGAGCAGTGAGAGAAGGAACAGACTAATGGTGAAACAAGAAGCTTGTTTTGTTCAAAATCTGATTGCTTTATAGTAACAGTGGAGGATGGAGGAGGGGGGGGGGGGTTCAGTGGTTCCAGGCAGCAGACAATGGGCCAACAGGATCAATATTGACATTCTCCTTAGTGATAGATGAGTTGGCTGGATGAGGTCAGGGACCGGACCTTTCTGTTAGCCAGCCGACATTAGCGGTCATGGCTGGGGGACACTTACTGTAACTTTGGCCTCTAAGCATAATGGAGGGTCTGAGTGAGCCCAGAAGAGGTCTCCCCACCCTCCACTTTATGGGCTTTATTACGGTAAGAGAACTCAGTCCTTCACTGGCCCGATTCAAAACACAGATTATTACTTTGTCAAAACAGCTACCAGACCACATTGGCACTTGCGAAGGCCAGCTTGCACTGCAAACAGCTTCTCGAAGTGCCCGTTTCTCGGCACGGCATCAGTGAGAGAGCAGGCAGAGTGCTTTTGGAATGGTGACCATTTAATAGTTCCTATGAAAACAACTTTAACATTTAAACACACAAACATCGGGTAAAGGCTTTATTTATGGTCATGGCAATAGTTGTTACCACAAAATATAATGATGCCACTGCAAACTGCACATATCTGCTTTCTGAAACAACATCCCATCTTTTGTTTACCAAATCCAGGTAATTAATCCAAGACAAACTCCCGGAAGAGGAAATGATGCGACTGTTCAGGCAGTTGGATCCAACCAGCTGGGAATATATAGAGAGATATATATCTATATCTATCTATAGATATATCTATCTATATCTATGCTGCTTTCTGCTGAGGCTGAGGATCAAGTATCTCGCAGAAAGATAAAGACAAGAGACACAACAGGGATGACAGACGAGAAGGATACTTTCACAAAACAAAAAACAAAAAGAAACAAATGCGGCATGTGTATGGGAAGAACATCAGGACGAGACAGAAGAAGAGGTTATCTGAGGTGATGGACAATGTGTGTGGTGGGCTTGTTTCATTAAAGACGAAGCCTTGCTGCTCTCCTCCTCCAATTCCTCTTGTCTTTTGGTTCTTGGACTCCAGCCTCAAAAACACACTGAACACATGTCTGCCATATCCTCCCACCCCACCCCCCTAGCCCCTCCACCCCACACACACACACACTTGCTCCTTTTCGCTACACGCTCGTGTTTCAGCAGTGAAATAAAAGTGACATCACAGAGGTTGCATTTCAAATCAATACACGTTGCTCCAAGGGCCCCCTGGTTCAGAGTCCAAACCACTCAGTGACCCCTCCTCTCCTGGGGTCGGATTTCTGTCTCTGCTTCTCGTCCTCCATGAACTTCTCCTGCATTTCTTCCATGGAGCCCTCCTTCAGCGTCCGGTCCTTTTCTGGGAAGATGTCGGGGAAGGTGAATGTCTGGCTTTGTGCCTGGGAATAAAATAAGCTGTGAATGTTTTGCTTTTTTTTTTTTTTTTTTTACTTAATAACAACAGCTACACATCAGTTTTCTACTGAATGTCAATTAATAAAACACGAACAAGAGAAATGAGATACCCATCTGGAACTCGGGACACTATTTCTGCCACCATATACTTCTTCCAGTTACACAAATCCTCTCTTTATATCTGGCATTGAATGTCTCCAACTCTCTCCCACATTTAATCTCTCATCTCTCTCCATTTCTCTGGTCCTGATTTATTTAGAGGGAAAGGATGGTATCCATTATTTATTCCATACCAACCCATCTCTGGCCATAGCTAATGCATTACTGGCCCAACTGTAGTCTGTGTCAGGGTGCTATGGAGTACAGTACACACACACACACGCACAATGCTAAATAAAAGATAAGAGGTCATACACTGCAGGTACGCACACGCCTATTATATGACTCTCAGTTTCTTCCAAGTACACCTGGCAACAAGAGCTACACTGACATGTTTCTTCAATCACATTGGACCTCTAAAAGTGCACACACCCATATGTGTTTTTTGTGACAAAAACAAACAAACAAACAAAATCAAGCCCATATTAAAATCATTAAAAACTAAATTTTCCACATATTGTGACATCTATGAAGTACAATTCACCTGAGAAACAAACTGTTGGGAAGGGGATGTAGAAAAAAAAAAAAAAAAAAGTGCTATAGCCTGGTTGCAAAAGGGTGTGCAACCAATAAACTAGTGCTTAATAAAGCAACTGCTTCTTGAGGTCATACCCGAGATCAGCTATATGGAATCTGAAGCCGCTTGAATAATGTTCAGATGTCCTAGTAGGACATTCATGAGTTATCCATGCTTACATTTTTTGGCTAATGTAATAGTTTGTCAAGAAGTTATATAGGATAAAAATGATAATTGTAATACAATGGTATCTGTCAGCAGATGGGCATAAAAATGTCCAATTATGAAAATGCAGTAAGTGACTTTACAAAAACTTGATGTTTCTCCAGAACTGTCTAAAGCAAATATCAAAAACTGAGATGAGAATAAGCTGCACAAACAGAAAGTTGTGCAGCTGGGTTATTGCACCTATTTTCAGTGAAACTGAATGAAATAACTGCACATATGTAAAGAAAGTTCTTGAAATTATGCATTACGGTCTTACTAGTCACAAAACAGGGGTTATTTAGACTTTCGAGAACAACTCCTTAAAGTTTGCTTAAATCTTTTGTAGCACTTTTATATGACATTTTTATTGCTGTGTTGGTATTTCATGCAAAATGTTAATGCTCGCAAAATACACCAAAGCGATTAGAGATCACAAACAACAGATTTTACACCAGCGGCTTCAGCTTAATACCGACAGTCAAATGTCTGGATGCGAGTCATAAACTTTTCAACAACTTTAGAGTGGCCTGCCACCAAAAAAATTAATTGCTTCAGTGAACACATCTGTCAATCAACTGTTCAACTTGAATATATGAAATATTTTTGCTTGGGGTCAGTGTGTAGGCGTCAAAGAATGGTGTGGCTCTAATGTGAATGTTACTTTGTCTCCAGCCCCCAAAATACCAAAAGAAACATGCATATAATTACACGCACCATGTTTTAACTCCTAACGTGGGAGACACAAAGATGCAAGCTTTTGTTTACTCTAGAAATATTTAAAGTCCAGATCCCACTACATGCCCCTGGACACCGGCGTGGGTATTGTAGGTCGTAGAGTACAGTTCAGACAGTTGCACAGTATCTGAACTGAATCTACACGTTTAGTCGGGAGGCATCCGAGTTTCATCTCTAGATATTTTGTGCAGTCAATTTTGACAACAAATTTGAAAAAACATATGTTTTTGCACAGTCCCCTAACCGAATTATATTTCTTTTTATAAGAAGTTGTCAGACCAAAAACAGCCTGTAAATCTGAGTCATTTCTGTCTCTGTATTCTACAGATCCACTAATAGTTTGGTTTGAGAGGGTGCTTATCTAGCTAAGCTCAAAGCAAAAAAAAAAAAAAGAAAAAAGGAAAAAAGGATTTTTGCCAAGGAAATTAAAAGCATTTTGAAATTAGCATCATCTCCTCATTTAGCATATAAAAATCACAGCCAGCTTTAACCTCAGACTGTCACAATGATGTGCCTAATGCCAAACTGTCACATTCTTTCTGTTTTTACACGGAAACATGACATGCCCTTGAGAATAAAGCATTTTGTAAACCATAAATGGTGGATAATTTAAGGCTGATTTACGGCATTCATGGAATGTTGACAAAAAAGTGAACCAAAACCAAATCTGTGACCCCAAAACTATGAACTTCGTATTTAGAATTTCAACTAAAAAAAAAAAATCTTGTATACTTTATTTTGTTTGTTTATTTTATTTTTTTAAGGATTAGGGTTTTCAATGTTGTGTCCAGATTTTGTTTACACACGTAAATGAAATTAAAGAAATATATAAAAAAAGCTACACAGATTACGGTACCAATAGAGTAGCAGCTTTTGGTAGGGGCTGTGTGATGATGTGGGGAGGTATATCAATCACTTCAAAACTAGTTAATTTCCATGTCGGGAGATAAGATTCAGCGATCCAATATCTCCACAGTCTGGGATTGAACCATATCCTCCAAAATGTTAACAGTCCCCTCCATGAGGAAGAGTTTAGCAGAATCTGGAAGTGGGGGGAATGGAAAAGTCTCATAAGATCTCAGATTACATAATCATTTTAATCTGTGGTATCAGCTTGCCATTTGTGCCAGAATGAAAAGCACGACTACATTTGCTAAGTTGCAACAATCCCATCTCGGAGCATATTTGGACCAAACTAGTGACCAACACTGGTCAGCTTCAACCTCAGACTGTCACAATGAGGAGGAGTTATCAGGGTGTTATGGGTGTGTGCAGGGTTTCTACTTAGGACCCTGGATGATAAATGAATAACTCGGTAGCAAAAATGTTGTTCGCTCTGCTGCTCAGTATACAAGTACAGTAAGTGGTCCTTGCAAAAATCCCATTCATGGGATGTTTACAGTGTTTCAAAGGTAGGCCTGTCACGATAACAAATTTAGCTGGACGATTAATTGTCTAAAGAAATTATT